TATATATATATATATATATATATATATATATATATATAGCATTTTTTAAATAAAAATAACAGGGAACATTTGAGTAACATTGAAACTTTTATTTGCATTTCATTTGGAAGACTGATAATTTAGTAATTGAAGTTTACATTAATTTGTTCTTTATATCACAACTTTTTTTTATTACATTAAGGAATTTTATTATAATTCTTTTCAAATATTTGCTTCATACATATAGTGTTTTAATTTGGACAACTATTAATTGGCTATAGGTAGATATTCTAATAGGCAACAAAATTTACCTTATTAAAAAATAGAAGGAAAAGTATATATATCATTCAAAAGTGTATATATATCATTCAATTTCATTCATCAATACGTATTGTGCATAACTGTGTACAGATTATTGTAATCAATTTGCATGGTATAACATATTAACATAGGCGAAATAAAAGAACTATATTGTACAAATGTAACATACACAATTGTATCAAATAAAAGAATTCGTATTCACGTGTTGTTTAAACTTTAAACTTGCTTGCAATATTTTTCCTCGTGTTTCTCCAATGCCTTTCTGATAACCGCGAAGGTAAAATCTGCATCCATTTTCGTTACGCACAGAGGTGGCTTTATTCGTAGCACCTACCATCGACGCATCATAAATATTTATATGTATTAAATGTATAATATAAATACACACGTGTCATAAAAGAATCGGTCCACTTACATTTGCATGCAAACCTCCTTTACCGACGAGAACCCCCATGTTTTTGATATCTTCGAAAATCTCCAGCAAGCGTTCAATTTGCAACGGTGTTCTCGTTTCGGAGTTCGAAATCAATTCAACACCGATCATCAATCCTTTTCCTCGGACATCACCGACGACGTCGGGAAATTCCAACAACAAAGTGCTCAAACGATTGATCAAGTAAGTCCCAACAGCGTATGCATTTTGCTGAAGGCCTTCTTCTTCTATAATCTAGATTATTTAAATTCCTTGTTATACAGGGTGTTTTCACCACCTGGTATAATCTTCTCTATTGGTGATAGTATGAAAATCGTTCCTGACGTAACTTAAACCGGTCGAAGAGACAAATCGGATGGAAGATCTACATTTCTTTTAAAAATATCATTTTTTAATGTTTTTTTTCCAAGGTCATTGGCATTTTTTATATATTTTTCTTTATTCCATCACGTGACTCGTGAAAGAACATTCATACATGTTCATGATATGACCTTCAAGTGACCTTCAACTTTGAAATTTTCAAACATCGCTGTACATCGCCGATCTACGACGTAAAATCTACATCGCCGATCTACGACGTAAAACAATCTACGACGTATGTAGTGAACCATACACTTACATCTAGGACCGTTGATCCGACCACACACGCAAGTGGGTTCCCTCCGAAAGTGTTGAAGTGCAGTGCCGAGTTCAAACCTTCGGCAATCTCGCTGCTCGTCACCACTACTCCAAGAGGAAATCCGTTAGCTACGCCCTTTGCTAAAGTCACTATGTCCGGCTCGATACCGTGGCCCTCGTAACCCCAGAAATGTTCGCCCGTCCTACCGAAACCAGTTTGAACTTCATCCGCTATGTACAAGCCACCCTTCTCGTGGACATAGTTGCATACCTTTTGAAGAAAGTATTTGGGGTACTGAACAGTACCTCCTACCCCCTAAAATGTTGTAATTACAAAATTACAAAAATATAATATAATATATAATATATAATATATATAATTATATATATATAATATATTAATATAAAAATATATTGTAATTACAAAATATTGAATTATATTATATATTATATATATTATATATATTATATAATATATATATAAAATTATATATACAATATATTATATATAATATATTATATATATTATAATATATTATATATATATACAATATATTAATATAAAAATATATTGCAACTACAAAATATTGAAAACGAAGGAACAGAATACCTGGATACTTTCGGCTACAAACGCCGCGATGCTGTGTGTGCACGGTAAGTTGAAGCGAAACGTTTCGTCGAGCTTCTCGAAATATTTCTCGGAGGCTACGCACTCCCTTTCACTGCAATCGCATTTTCTTCCTGCCACTTGTACGGGCGAATCTCTGCATCTTGATCCGCCCCAGTCACCTTTGTACACGTCTGGATATACCGCCTGAAATGATCACACTTCCGGTAATTTTATTCAAGTACTTTTTAGGTAATTTAATTGCATAGGTGGGGATAGCTCAGTCGGCAAAGTAGTAGACTCTTAATCTGAGGGTCCAAGGTTCTCGAGCCCCCGTTGGGCGAAAAAAAAAAAGAAAAAAAGGAAAAAAAATTTAATTCCAGTCAAGGATCGGAAAGAACATCCAAGAATTATTTGAATTTCACTTACGCGTAAATAACCAGCCGGTTGCGCAATGAATGGATACCTCCATGTACTCATCGCGGTGGATGCTGAAGTCCCGTAAGTCGCGCCGTGATACCCGTTTTGCAGTGAAACGATATGCTGGCTGCGCGTGTAGATCCTGGCCATTAAAAACGCCAGCTCGTTCGCTTCCGAGCCGCTATTTGTCAGATACATCACCTTCAATTTGCTCGGAAATTTCGTTTTTAATTTGGCCACGTATTCGTGTAAACGCGGGTGCATGTAAACAGATGACACGTGGTTCAGTAGCGATGCCTGTTCAGATATAGCAGCTGTTATTTTTCTGAAAGATATATTATCTCTTAGTTTGTTGTATTTTCTTTTTTTTTTTGGTATCGTGTGTTTAATGATATTACGGATGAGAGTGGCCAACAGAGACAGTAGCAACCCCGCCGAACATATCCAGATATCGTTTTCCATGATGATCCCACAGCCATTGTCTCCAGCCTTCATGTATCAATAATGGTTCTTTGTAAAATTGCTTCAAGGAAGGGGATACGACTGATTTATACGCTCTTTCAATGGTTTCGTAATTCGCCCCCTGCAGATATAGTGGTAGAAGTATATTTAGGTATTTGCTTTATGAAAAGGATAATTTCTACGTGAAAAAGTAGAGTCTCACTTTGTAGGCAGAAGGCACATACTCGCAATCGGGCATCTTTAGAAAGTCTTTCACTGTGCTTACAGAATTTCTGACCTGTATAGCGAACCCTAAAATAATAAATTATATGCTATTGATCCTGTTTCTTAATTCAACAGTCTTCAGTTGAAGAGCAATGTTCTTTGAAAATTCAGTGGACTGAAAATTACTAAGGACTGTCGTGAACATTTTTGAAAATATTTCGCTGGCGAAATTTGTAAGGAAATACTTACATCTTAAATTTGTGAAAGCAGGAGTTGCGCATTTATTTGTTAACATGTTTCTTTACTTTATAAATCGTCAGTGTGTGAATTCTATTATATATTTTGGACAAAATTTTATTTCTATTTTATTTCTATTTCTATTAATCTATATTAAAAATATTTTCGTTTACGCACTAGTCTTCTGTTGTATGTTTGAATCGGTTAAAGATCGAACACTCACTGCAAATGTTGTTCGATTATGAATGCGCGAATTTAAAAGTTAAGCGAAATTACTTTCATGTAAATATTCATGTGTAAACCATGTAAATACGTTTAGGTGTGTAAGAGGTCAATAAGTTTCATTTGAGAATATTAATATACGAGAATGTTCCATTGTGAATATTTTTCGGTAGAGAACAATACTGAGAATATTGCTTTTAATCAAAATTTAATTTCTTTATATTTTCTATTATTATACAAATCATTTTTACGAAAAAAATCTTTTACTATAGATTTTGAAGAAGGACTATGCTAAAGAATATACCGTCATTTTTGTATAAACGTATTTATTTATAATTTGAATTTATTACTACTAAACTATTTTTCAGTTGTATCTGCATCTGCATTCTGAGATATTTGTTTCTTTGCATCATCATCGATGCACAATTGTTCATTTGTCAACGATCTCAATTTAAATACTACGGGTATTTTTTTCAAAATAGGATTTGTTTTTTGCAAACATCTTATCCATGATAGTAGGGAGTCTTTGGAAGATGTTCCTGAAGCACACATTGCATAATATACACCATCATCCTGTTCGTGAATGGTGACTGGTATTTTGAAGTTATGTCTTTCCCAAAACGGAATTTTCATATTAGATACATCTGAAAGTAAAACAACGTGCAAATTAACAACATCTGCAATCTTGTTGTTTAACATAAAATATACAAGTACTCTTATTTTTCTTTACCATCATACTCTCCGTAAATGACCTCTCTCTTTATTGGATCTCCCTTTAATACAAAATAATTCAGATAATACTCAGCAACCCAAATTGAGAAAGGTCCTTCAACCATCAATGATTTATCAGTTGGTTGTACAGCGAGAAGTTCTTGCTGTGATTTACTCATGCTCGACAAGATCCATGTATCGTCAATCGCGTCAGGTACATCCTTTGTCTTGTATAAAGTGATATTAGCTTGTACATCTATGCTAGATATCTTTTTTAATGCATATTCAGCGAGTACTTTTGCATCTGTCGGCGTGGGTCGTGGTATGGGCCAAGGATTTAATTGACTGAACTTTGGTAGCCAATAGAACATGCTGAAACACTTTTTCATAACCAAACCATTTTTACCAAATATCTCCAGGATCATTTTCTGCACGTCATAATCAGGTATCACAAAATTTTCTTCCATTTTGTTAAGTATTCGTAGAGCTGTGTCTTGATGTTTTGGATAATGATACAGCATAATTTGAAATTTATTTTCAGGTACGTATCTCCCTCTTGGAAATATATCAAGCAACGCCTTGTAAGCCTCTATGTCTTGATGTACACCAAATTCATTCATGTACTTCAGCGCTGTTTGTATGAATTCTAATTGCCCCTTCCTGTTGACATCATTCCTTTTATATATACGTATGATTTCTAAGAAAGTTTTTTTTACTTTCACTTGCACATTAAAGTGATGGGGCGTAATATCGATATTCGGCTCATTTTTGGTAAGCAAAATGTCATTGTTATGAAAATTACTAACAATTGTCAACTGTATGCTAGCATGTTTTTTTATTATTGGCAATTTATTCAACGAGATGACAATTTTCCTCATTAACGTGTTCATATTACTACAATTTTATAATGTTTAATTTAAATACAAGTCATAAATATATAAATATAAATACAAATATATATATATATTAACAATAGTTCTTCTGTATAACCTCAGAGTTTATGAATCTCATAATACATATATGTACATAACATTGTAAATTGTCATAGATTTTTAGTACTAGTTTCTTAGATAGCATTTAACATAACTTCTTACTAATTAAACAGTATTTTAGTATTTTAGTACCTAACATCACTACAATTTCAGTGTTATAACATTTTCATTGATAAGAATGAAGATAGAATTGATGTTTAATGTTTTTTCGTATCTTGCTAGTTTCGTATTGCATGCAATGTTACCGATTCAGTATAGAAACGAAACTGCTCTGGTAGTAACCTAATTTTCGGAATTCAAATGAAACAAAGAAAAGAAATTGAGCGCTCAATTAAAAAGATATAATTGTAGAATGCTTCTCATTATTTTATTATATTTCTAATCAATTAATAGATATAAAATTCATTGATGCTATTATCATATAACGGTGAAATAATGAAATTAAATTATTGCTTTCCTCGTCACATATTATTGCCCTTTTTGACAACAGTTTGAATTTTTGTGGCGGAGCTGCAGTTCTTTTTTACCGACCGGACCAACGGCAATAAAACGGCGGCAAAAATAAAAGAAGAAAAGAAAATGGATTCGTTAGAAAAAGCATGTACTCGACAAGAATTATATATATAATTCATACATTGTACATAAGAGTTAAATGAAATTTCATTCTGTTGTGATTATGTTAATTAACATAGCATTAATAATTAAAAGAAATATAACATAAATTCAGAATCTAAATTACTGGTACTCATCGCTTTCAACGATGAAGTCGAATATAATTCTTGCGTTCACCATAGCAAATCACAAAGAATATAAAAGACGCTGATTTTTTCTTAGACTAATATTTCAGAATCTAAAACACAAAATCTTTCATTTAATACTATGTCTGTTGTTAGGGTTTGTCTTTTTCTCCATTTGGTTTTAATTTTTTAACTTTAATTTTTGAAAAAGTAGTTTTCTACTACCTCTTTTCATATTTGTACATGTCGATTCATTTTTCTAACTTATAATTTAGCTTTCCATAATTTATGATTGAATTAATATCTCGACAATTAATTACTATTATTACTTTTACATTAATTTGTTTAATAAGGTCAATATGAAAGTACATACATATTTTTAATTTTGATTACAAAAAAATGGGTAATGGCAAATCTCATACAATGTCCGGAGGAGAAAGAAACAATAAAGTGGACTCTCCCTACTGGAGAGAGGATCTTCCTCTATGGTTCGTAAAGCAAGATACGATTCACGATTGGCTCTCTAGTTCGACGGGCCTGCTTAGTCAATGGTTCGACTGCTTTATCATCCTTGTAATGAATTTCGTTGAGAATCTTTCTTATGTAACAGAAAAATACGTAATCATGTGTTGTCATACCTAAGAAGATAAATGTTTCAAATTTCAAATTGTTGTATCACATTACATGCATCTTATTTATTATTAAAGAACAAAGAACGAATGATATTTAAAAATTATTACATTAATATTAGAACGACATTAATGAATAATGAACTTCTATTTTTCTGACTTTACTTAACTAATAATGTAACATGTGAATAGTAATAATAGAAATCACGTGTACACAGTATGAATGAATTGATGCTGTGGTTAATGAATAATATATTTAACAGAAAACTGTAAAACTTTACACAACTGCAGATTGAATTGCAGGTTAATGAAGATAAATATCTATTTTTATGTTCGATGTTACAACATAATGGATGATAATCTGTAAAAATTATCAAATACATGAAAAATAAAATCTATAGTATGAAAGGAAAGGTTTTTTACATTTTATAGTATTGGTGTATTTTACAGTATTAGACAATACCCATATAATAAAACGTCAAAAAATGAATCCTATATTAAAGATATTTTTAACTTATTGTTGGACAAATGTATATTTAATAATTGGTATCAGCATGGGTTTAAGTCTCAGTATGATGTTAATACCAGTTGATATAGATAGTTCTAATGGGAACACAGATTATTTAATACATTACTTGAACTATCAAGACGACTTGGACGAATATGAACCAAAAATAAATATCAATAGCAAACCTCTACAAGCACAAAAAGTTTCCAAAGCGTTGGTGCGTCCAAGATATTATTCGACAGAGCTTGGAATCAGAGAGAAACTGTTCATAGGAGTGATAACGAGTCAACAATATTTATACAGCAGAGATATAGCAATTAACAAAACAGTTGCCCATGTTGCGGACAAAATACGTTATTTTATTTCTATACGCGAGGGTACAAAACCCAATGTTACCCTGCCTGGTATAGTTGGATTTACAGATACTAAAAGCATTTTGAAGCCATTTCATACTATGAAATACATAATTGACAATTATCTGGAGAATTATGATTACTATTTCTTAATCAAAGATGTAAGCTACATCAACGTTAAAAAATTACTCAAATTTGTTACAAAAATTAGTGTAAGTCAAAACGTTCATGTGGGTGTTCTTGGAGATACTCCAACTTATTGTTCTTTGGGTAAACAGTTAGCATATTAAAACGTTATTTCAATTTCAAAATACTTGATATTAAGAATTATTATTCATTTCTAGATTCGGGAATACTTCTGAGCAATTCGGTGATACAAGAGTTAAAGAACAATTTGGACTGGTGTGTAAGAAATGCTTACTCTGATTCAGACGACGTCAATTTTGGACGATGTATCGTTCATTCTGTCTCAACACCCTGTTCCAATCATATACAAGGACAGAAATTTTGGTACACCAAATTGAAGCCTACATTTTCATTCGAAAAGGATTTAAAAGACCTAATTCGAAACAATGAATTTCTAAATTCACTCGTGATATATCCGATATATGATCATTTTCTTGTCTACAAATTAAACACGTATTTTGCGGCAGTGAGTACTTTAAACTGTAATAATTAAAAGTTCGTTGATCTGTAATCTATGCCTTACAAAAGCTTCTGATGATTTCAGACAAAGTCTGTGGAAATTCAAGAAAAGATTTCCAACATTCGGAAATCAATTTCAAACATGGCAAGCTTAGGTCCTGCGCAAGAACGTAATGTTTCATGGCCTATTGGCAATCAGCCGGGAAATAAAGCTACCAGTCGTTTCGATATTTTACGATGGACGTATTTTAACGAAACTCACATATTTTTAAATACTGACTTTTCAACTGTACAAGAATTAAAAACCGACGCTAAATTTGACATAGAGCGAACGATTAACGTTACAATTTCTAATATAATTGCTGATTATCGGTATACATTAAAATTTAACAAATTAATAAATGGGTACCAAAGATTCGACGCATCTCGAGGAATGGATTATATACTAGATCTGGAGTTTACCGATATTAGTACCGGTAAAGTAATGAAGAAGAGGATTGAAGTGTGTAAGCCACTCGGCAAAGTTGAGATCCTGCCTGTTCCGTACGTAACAGAAAACACGAGAATAAATATAATACTGACGGTGAATTCATTAAATAAGCAAGATGCATTGAACTTTTTAGAGCAATATGCTATAGACTGTATGGAGAAGAAGTATAAAACCTTCCTTATGATGGTTAATATCTTTATTTATTGTTAAAATTGAAAAAAAGAATTTTATGTATTTCTTAACTTTGTTTATATGTAGGTTCTCTTGTATAATTTTGACTCTGCATCTAAAGGAAAAGCAGACATATACTCTGAGATTAAACAGTATGCGCTGTTGTTGGCTGAGAAGTATAAGAAACAACAGTCGAAAATCACCTGGCTTTCTATACGATTGCCAAATATTGTAACGTCTGTTGAAACAAATCGGTTACTGAATATTGCTGTTACAGACTTATGCGTAAGAAAATTTGCACCTGAAAGTTTAATACTTTTCGTTGAGACTGGAATACAACTACGGCTGGATTATTTGAATAGAGTATGTATATTAGTAATCTTAACAAAAATCTCGTATACGCAAATTAATTCAAAATTTAATATTTAGATCCGAATGAATACCATCAATCAATATCAAATATTCAGTCCAATTCCTTTCATGGAATACCACCCTGATATAGCTCACATAAACGATATAAAACAAATTGACACGGACATCAATCGAAATCATGGAAGATTTGACGAATATAATTTTAATAACATTGCCTTTTATGTCAGAGACTATAACACTAGTATGTATAGTTTCTTATACCTCTTTTTATTTTGTATTTTTCATAATACATTTACATCCGTTTGCAGTGAGAAAAACCATTGAGGCTAGCATTCCAATAATACACTCTGATCGAGATATTTCATCAGTGTTGAAGTTTTCACAAAGTATCCCTGTCACTTCTTTGTTCGAAATGTTTGTTTCATTCAGCAACTTACATATTTTACGAGCAGTAGAACCAGCTCTCAAAGTAAGGTATAAAAATGTCGACTGCGTTGATATTATTGACAATAACAACTTTTGCACACGATCGAAGAATTTTCACTTAGGTCGACGTAGTCAACTTGCTAGATTGATACTGGATTATCAAACTTATAAAAATGATTTGTTAGGATAAATTGTACAGCAAGCATTAATAAATAAGTATTAACAACTATATAGTTTATGCAGTAATATAAATAAGGTTATAAAAGTGTGATGAAAAAGTTGATGTTAAAATGTTATACATATCTATACGAAAAGATTTATATTATAACGAATACTTTATTAAATTTATACATTTCACATTAAATAAATATTTTGTAAGCAATGCAGTTGTTCAATTCTTTTTGTAACAAATTAAACATATAATTTTATATCCATAAGGAGATTGCAGAAGAAAATTAATTCGATGTGCCATGTACATTTGGATATTTACATAAAAAAAACAATCAAATTGATAATTATAAAATTATAAACTCGAAGTATTTGCCAGTTTCCTAAAAATTACATAAAACATTTTGGCAAGATTTCTATCTAAAATATATGTATAAGAAAGTAAAGATCATATAATTATACTAAATATTAGTCAGTAGTAATTGTACAATCTCTAATACCTTATAAATAAATGTACATCGCCATTTCATTACATTTTCTCCATATGTTTACTGCACAAAAAGCGAAAGGTACGTACCATAACTTACTGCAATACATACATAATAATAAAAAATATGTAAATATTTGCCATATCTTTTTTTTTGTGTAATATGGAATACAATTGAATTGTTCTATTTCTTCAATATACATATAACAGCAAATAAAATGTTGGAAAAATAGAGAATTTTTTGACAGAAAAAATGTTTAAAACATCTTTCATCATCCCTGCAAAAAAATATTGTCTCGACAAAAGTAGTATTTACATTTATTAATATAAATACAATATAATTTGAACATGTCTTACCGTTAATCACTATCAGATTCTGATTCTGATAATTGTAAATCATCATTCAGAAGATTATCTGGCATAAGAAGTGTTGGTGATGAGTTTCTACTGTTCAAATGTCCTAAGAAAAATATGTATAAAATAAAAAAGTAAATTACTTATATTTTAGAAATATAATAAAAATAATACCATTAGTCCCCGTTAAAACTGTAACATTTTCATTGTCTGAATCACTGTCTGAACTATCTGAACTTGAGCTACTTGAAGTAGAATCACTAAGAGCACCTTCATCACTGTCCGCGGTTACAGAAGATTTAACAGCTGATTGAGTATTAGTTACGGAAGATGACTTTACGGACGCAGAAGAATTGGTAGCCAGTAGTGATCCAGATGATGTTAAAGGACAATCATCGTTATCAGAACTAATCATTGGCAAACTAGCCAAAGTTGACGGTGCCACTGATGGTTGCTGCACTGGTGAACTAAAGTTCTGTTTTTAGTACGTTTAGAAAAAGATCTTTGTGAAAGAACCTGCAGAAATGCTATTTCCTCTCCGATTTTGAATATACTGTGAAATATTTCAAACAATTTTTTCTTACACATATAATCAGTTTCTGGGTTTAATTTCCGGGGTATTTGCAAAAAATTGGCCGAACTAACACATTGAACCTTGCCTATCTGTAACATAGTCGCAAGTATAACCGACACATTTGTGTTGTCATGTTACAGATATACATACGCTGCTATAGGCAAAATTCACTGTGGAATGGACATGTTTTTGCAAACATCTCGAAAACTAGACTAGTGAACACGTACAGAAAAAAGTTGTTTAAAATATTGATTTCTTCAATATACTCAAAAATCATCAAAATTTGAGAGGAAGTAATTCTCTATAGGTTCATCTTAATATATTATTATTATTATAACACTACTATATAATTAGTTTATTAGTATAGTTACATAAAGTTTCAAAATATCATTTTATATATAATTTAGTTCATAATATCATTTACGTTTCGTTAAAATATTCCAGATTTCATTTTCTTTTATCAAAATAAATTATTTATTACTTATTTATTCTCGATATTAAAAAATGCTTGTACCTATTAATTGAAGTGAAAGGAGGACTTTTGCCATATGGCGATACTCTAAGGGGACTACACTGTTTCGGATGTACTTGAACGCTGGGTTCTTTCTTTTTCCCACTTGTCATTTTCATTCTTCCAGTTGCCCTACCATGAGTGGGACTTTTTTTCATTTCTACAGGAGTTATGGGTCTGTTACTATTTGCTCCAGACATTCCCAAGTGCAACTGTGACTTTGGTTCTGTTCTAAAAAATATAGACATAAAATTACAACATAAAATAGTTCGACGTGTTTCACAAAAAAAAAAAAAAATACATACCGAGTTTTTTTCACTTGAATATTCGCCGACAACTTCTCCAGTGTAATTTCTCCCGTCACCCTGTCAATTATCAAGACACATTCCTTGTGATAAGGTCTTTGAGAACCTTTGAACACTGTATGAGGTATCCCGGCACCATCCAAATGTGGTACAGTAACCGTCATTGTGTTGTTTGCTCCAACGTCTACCTTTGCTACTTTGGAAACATCGACGCTCGCTGGTTTAAAATCATCTGAATTCAAAAATATCCAATGTTATTGACCGTGATTACATTTCTGGCTATGAATTGATTACATTTTCAAAGTAAGTAACAAGTTACTTATCTAATCACACTGTTAGAAGAGAATTACTATTGAGATATACTTGCAGATATTGAGGTTATAAAATAAAGGGATTTGTCCACTAACATTTCAAAGTATGAAAAGCCGTTGATCTGTTATTGGTAAAAGTAGGGCCCAACTTCAGTTCTCTAATCTCGGGGCCCAAACCGAGCCGCTGTGCCATGTCACGCCCGATATCTTGGAAGTTTGTTTCAGGAACAGAAGTGACCGATTTCATTGCGCACAATTTTCTGCGTAATCTTTTTTAATGATTCGAACAGGTCAGCTGTCGACCGTGATCGATAGTTGCTCTGTTTTATTCGTTGCTCTGCCAAAATATGGCAGGGACGCGCATTTGCATTTCCTCGGTAACAGCTGTTACTCCGTTCTATTCCGTTATGATCGATTTGCCTGTACGCTCGTTCGTTCTGTGTAATAATTATCGTCGAGAGCCGTGTTTTTTAGCAAGCAACAAACTCAGGTGATAGGGGAGAGTCGAGCGAAAATATCACAGCTTACCACAATACGATTCATTCATTGACCTAGTTCGTCCGTGTGTCCGCACTCATGAAGACCGTGCTTAATTTGTTTGGTAACTGCTCGAGAATACAGAAATCGGGAAACGGCAATTCGATCGCACTGATTGAATCAATTTGGTTCAAATTTAAGACATGTTGCGGTTTATTCAATTCCAGACTCCATGCGGCACCATCGCAGCAAACGTCCTGCGACTCACTCGAAAATTCACTTTCCTGTACACCATTGGAATTTAAGCGCTGCCATAGATCCTGCATTGAATACAGATAGGCCGCAAAATATCTGACGAACGTGACGTACAAATGCAGAAGGTATTGCATTTATTTGACTCTCGATTGACACCTTTTCCAATACATACGAAAATCCAAAGAGTTTTATGTAACTTTAAAGATACTTTATTTAGGGATGTAAGTTTTTATTGATGTTACAAACTCGCACGTGCTTCGTTAATTCTAGTGACTTTCCAATATCCCCGTGTCTTCATTCACTCGAAGATATTTCGCGGGTGTAGGGAATTTCTCAATTCGAAATGTCCGCGAATTCAAAATGCGTAAACACTGAGTATTGTATCGTACAATCAATTAGATTTACATTATTTACAGTTCGCTCAGCGTCAAAACCATGAAAATTTCTACGAAGCATAAGGAATATTGACTCAAATCGGTGCTTGAAATCTCGTAATGATAGCAAAGTTCGTCGATAAAAAATCGCTCAAATATGTATGAAACGACCAAACTGATAACATTGTAATTACTGTTTCTTAGACCGACCAACGTGATCATCAACAACTGGAGGGTAGTGGTAATATTCATGAACAACTGATGCCTCCTTATTTGGCTTTGTTTTCGCTTTGGTTGCAGATGAAAGAATATTGGCAGTATGCCCAAAGAGAGTAGCACGAGCCAAACTTTCTCACTGATCCCATATCCTTGCAAGATACCAGCAGTGAATAACGCCAATGACATAATGTCAACGATCATGGAATACCAATCGTAGAAGATCCTTAAGTACTTTGCTACATTGGTTGTTGATGTAAGAAACGGAGTTCCTGGAAGCAACATTTGCTAAGGATATGCTCTATACTACACACACATATTATAAGTGCTGTTGTTTACTATGCTTCATAGCGTGAACGTCGTTCTTGAACACAAAAGCTGCATATATTTCTCTAGACCTAGAGTTTCTAGAAGTGTTACAAGAAAGACAAGAAAGACAAACCCTTTTCTACAATGCTCTTTAAATTTTAGAGCAACAGGAAAAAAATGTGAAAGGTGACAGTTTCTAATTTTGAATGTGAAATACATATAATCAGTAATTTCACAATTCAAAAATAATGTACGTACATATAGTTGGAACTTGTGAGAAATAACATAATTAATGGATAGTTTTTTACGTTCTAGCGAAATAAAAGTTTCAAACAATTCGCATTTTCTTTTTTAAATTTCTACGAAACAGTTAGTTACTGAGGTAACAATGTACATTTTAATGCAAAATTAACTTTCAGCTGAAGAATCAGTCGGTTCGAAAAAGGAAAAAGTCTATATTTTATACAGATTATTTATTTCTTCAAATTGTTACAAAAATCTATAATGCTGGGATGCTATAAGCAGGTTTTGTTATTAAATGATAAATCTGTATGGAAAAAAAGAAAAGATTATCTACAATGCTGTGATAAGCAAAATCAGGAAGTTAAAAACATGCAAAACAAATATCTACTGTACTACTTCTAGTGATATTCAAATATATACCTAAGCAAAATGTGTACCAGCTAAAAAATATATTACTATGTAACTGCATATTATAGAGTGATACAGGAATTTTTGTTACTCATTTCCTTTATAAACAAGCACTGAATTATTTCTCACCTGTTCCAACACAAGACAAAACTTTTACAAATAACAAATTAAAAGTACTACTTCTTTGCCAATAGTTTTACATTTATAAGTCAAATATAATACCCTTACGTAGTTTCATAACTAATCCTTTGCATGACCCCCATTAATATATAAGATGTACTTTTAGGGGGCCCTGTACAGATAATATTGCTTTAAAAATATACTATCAAAATGCCAAGATGCAAAATATATGCAATTGTCAAAGAAATACATTCTTACCAAACCTGAGTGCTCCCAATACGGAGTGCGAAAGCAGAATTTGAAAGGCACGAAATGACCAGGTGTTTGTTTTATCGTACTCATTACCAAGAGTTCTCATGCAACCAATTGTCACGAAAAATTTCGCTAGATGTGCAAGGGTGCTGCTTGGATGAATCATGGCCCTTTTATTTACAGATGCTACTTTCTGGTTTGATGTCCAAGTTGCCGGAAACTTCCATGCGATCGGAATTAGAATATCTTCTCGTTAAGAGGAAGTATTTCTACATTTCACTATCAATAACAATTAAAATCGTAAAATTCTTTTACGTTGTGTTTGATACTCGAACGAGGTTATGTACACTTGAATCCGTACCGATTATGCATTATTTCTTAACGACTGATCCAATCTATATTAAACGAGTATCTTTCTGAATTTGTTTAACTTTACTAAAATGCAAACCTCTGTATAGGCAGCGACACGAACATTGTACTCTATTTAAATAGCTTAATGTGTATATGTATGTATCTTGTTTGTGCCTCGAAATAGTTTCGTCAGATATTTTGAGTATCATGCTAAATTAACTAGATAAAAGTTGAATATATTTAATTAGAAATTTGGGTGCCTTTTCAAATATTCTTTTTAACTTTCAACTTTCAACTTTGAATATTCGATCTATGTGAAAATTTGAAACAAGTTTGATCGTAGAAAACGAGTGATTCTTTCTTCAAGAATTGACAAAGGGGAATCTCGTAACTCGTGAAGATAGTATAATGAGAACTCATGTTTACATATACATATATGTATATTTTGTAACGACGTATAAAAATATCGTTCGTATTTCGCATACAATGTGAATAAAATTATACGATACGAGGGAAGTTAGTAAAAATAAGCTATAGTTATAGTTGTGTGTAAAAGAGAACATAAAGGACTGAATTGGCAAACACAAGTGTTGGCGTCAGATCAAAAAGTTTTCCAAGTAAATGACAGACTTTTATGCAAAAAAAAAGAGGAAAAGAAAAAGGGGAAGTGCATGAAGGAGGTTAATGTCTTTCCTTCGTTCGAAACGACATGACTAATACATCATCGATGCGCGTTGACGTTTTTGCTAAAAGTTTTGCAGCAATACTGCAGTATTTTTACCCTTGACAACTTGTCGAGTAATAGCGGCAAACGTTCGTGCGCGCACGGCGTGGAATCATTATTTCAAAGCCTTATGGGAACTTCGTGCCATTGGAAATTTGAATTTTACCAATACCTTTCGAGCGAAACTTTATTCAGGAATCGCAGCGATGTAATTCACTCAATTTGTTAATTTTGCAATACTTGAAACAAAAGACATTGATTCCTATGCGCGCGCATGTATGTATGCGAAAGAGATCGTTTAAACATGTTTCCTCGATTTATTCTATTTTTTATATAAGCGACAGTGCGAAATAATGATTCAAAAGGTATGAAAATGACGCAACTGTTAACATTCGATTTCGAACGGTACTTCGTTTATGAATTCCTACGTATCATCAAGCAAGTGCTGCCATCTAGCATGCAAAGATTCATGTATATTTGGTAGATCGAAATTGCACTTACGAAATGCACGTAAAATTACTTACGTAAAATTGCGTCTTACACTTGTATTAAAATAATTATATATATATATAATTATAAAAATTTTTAACTATAAAATTTTGAACGTACGTCCATCAAAACAATACTCAACGATACTCTGTAACAGTTTTGTTTGATTCAATAATTATATTTTCCAGCAATCACGTGAGAAATAAATTTCGGAAAGATAAATATTGTTCTACCAACGATAATCTTGTCTCAATACGTAATTTAAATGTAATATTGACATTAGTCAATGATATTAGAAAACTACGTTATTTGCACTAATAAAAAGAGCCATATCCATTTCCGCAAGTCTGGAAATCAATCCACTCTTAATCTAATATATTAATAAAGAGATTGATCTTCGTAATTGTCACGACAGCACCGATATAATTTTCAAACGCGATTTCATTATCTCCCTTTGGCAAACAATTATGACTAAACCATAAATTCTCACGATAACGGATACGCTCACACCCATGTTGAACTTCGAAGTGTTGACAAGCCACGCTGAGATGGTTTTCCCGTATTCCATGCAGGCCTACAAGCGATTTTAGATAACTGTCTCCCTTTGCTCACCTATGCAGGTAACTACTAAAAATAAAGTTTTGCGATATTTTTACATTCGGCACCAGAAATGCTATTTATACTAACTGTAGAACTGGTTTTCAAATGAACTATCTAATTTGATGTTTCTTACGAACTCTGAGAACTGTCACACGATTATAGAAATTCGGTATTGGCGAGTGATAGAAACGATGTTCCTCCATGTGTTGTTGTCGTGACAACACGAAAATCAACTCTCTCTTGACGCGAAGTTTTCTTATATAATTGTCCTTCGATCGTACCGATTTTTTTGAGACACACAATAATGATCACGACTTTTCCGATTCTAATTGCAACATTTTAATTACACGCCTATTATTCAGACCTTTGTCCTCTTTGTTCTGTCGTGAGTGGGATTAGTCATTGCATGATGATTAAAATTACAATGCTATTGCAACTGGGTTGCGTGGCGGAAACAACACGGGGAAATCACCGAGTTCGTTTTTCTTTTTTTTTTTTTTCTTGTTCATCGATGTCGACGATGCGTATCTATTTCAATTTTCAACTTTCGCGTACGTTTTGTTGTTCGCGCAGTGCGATACCCGATTGTACATCGTGATTACAATCGTAATTACAATTGTGCAAAGTAAAAGGGAAAAGAAAAAGAAAGAAAGAAAGACATGAAGCCTTTCTCGCTCGAAAATTCTAATAAAGAAAAAGTCTCGTAAGATATCGTATTTGTGATGAAATTTCTCGAATGATTTACAATAATTATAATTATGTTTCGATTTGAATCTATAAACGCGAACCTAACCTAACCTAACTTAAACCTAACCTAAACCTTACTCACCTGAACCTAACCTAAACCTAACCTAAACCTTACTAACCTGAACCTAACCTAAATCTAAGGTAAATGCCGTAAAAGGAAAATTTAATGGAAGTTTAATGATTTCGAGGGGAATATAATCTGTCATTAATTAGCTTTTCTGCAATTGCAAATTCTGTAATTGCACATCGTACGAACGTATACGTTGGAAATATAAGTACGTATGTTTCTTCCAATAGTAGCTGGAGATATGTTAATTCCAATATTGCAAAGTAATGTTAATAAATACAGGTGTATATACATTGTATTTGCATCCTTTGAATTAATAGGAGGTATTTCCTCTTTTTTTTTTTTTTTTTCTTTTCTGCAGAGCGATAAAAATGCAAACGACGTCAGTGAATTAATGTGTTACATTTCCTTGTGCAACTCGACGCGTTATATTATCGCATCTATTAAACTTAATAGTATCATTAATATTAATATCACCATGTTTACTTACGTTGCTTGAAAAAAAAAAAAAATTTGTCAATAATCACATCTTACCTCGGTACTATCGTCACTTCGAGATCATGATTAAGGTTAAAGTACATCCTAAATGAATGATTTTTTTTTTTTTACTGATAAATCTTTTTTAACTGGTATCGATAATGATTTAAGATCTTCCGTAATACGAACGACTAGACTAGAATTGAAGAACGCGAAATACTAAGGCATTTCACAAAAATTACTCAGAAAAATTTATTATTTCGCTCTAAAGCGGCCAACACGTTGCGATGCACGTGTGTATGAGCTTTCAGGTTATGTATCAACTTTCGTGAAACAACGATGGAATTGGGCCTTGCACGTCAGCAAGGGCGTTCTACTGACTTCTGCATCGATGTAAACAGTGTGAGTTTAACACTGGCGTTGTGAAACTTGAGAATCGATGAGAGATTACTTTAATAATACCGCAACTACCAAATCCGCGAGAAACCAACGTTCAAAAATTTTATATATATATTTTTTTTTTGAATTTTTTTTCTTTAGCAAAATTAATGTTAACTTTTATATGGTCGTAATAAATTTTATTAACGTTATCTTTCAGACTCGTAAATAAAGATAAAAATAAATTTTATTACTCGTTGATAAATAGTTTCTAATTAGTAGAGTATATAAAATAAACTTTTACTCGTAATAAATAGTTTTTAATATTTCTGATTTATCGTGATGAATATTTATGGTAAATACTTATGATAAATAGTTTCTAATAATTTCATTATATATTCAATAGTTCTAATGTCAAGCTTAGTAACTTTGCGAGTTTCAACGAG